GTATATTTTTTACTGATTGTTTATTGTGCTGTGTACTACTCTACAGCTCACTGATTATTTTATCAACTCTACAGTGTAGGTTCCCTTTCTTAAGCCTCATTTCTCAGCTGACAGAGCAAAGACACAGAAAAGTAACTTGCTAAAGTCACAGACTACTAAGTGCTGGAGACAGGGTTCCAAAGCACAGGTGGGCTCCATCACGCCTAACCAAGAGCTCATAATCCAGACTCTCTCCTATTCTCCTCAGAAGAAAGGGGAATGCTGCTGATCTATGCCAAAGTTCTTGGTCTGAGCAGAGAAATTAATCAATGCTAACTTCTTCTAAAATAGGAAGATGATTTTTTTTTAAAACAAGGTGGAATGATTTGAGCTTCCAAATCACCAATTCATATACCCATTTCTTGAATTTAGTTCATCTCAGCTGTATGTTAAAAAGAAAATAATTGGATTATCTGTTTTTCCCACTCTAGTGATGTTCAAAAGTATTCTCTCTGTGTGTGCATCTGTGTGTGTGTGTGTGTGTGTGTGTGTGTGTGTGTGTGTGTGTATCTGTCTTTTGAGCACTGGAATTACAGGTTGTACCACTATGCCCAGATTATGCATCATCTTCTAAAAGCCACATTAATACCCCAAATTTCAGATTGAGGAGTCTTAGAGGTTATTTGTGAATAGGTGGCTTTCCAGAGGATTCTGGTAATGATTCTGCTCTTACCATTCTGAGTAGGACATTGGTAATTACTCTTCTAAATGCCTGTATCAGTAATTTTAAATGCTGTGCTGGGGACTGAAACTGAGGCCTTTGGCATGCTAGAGATACATTCTACCACAGAGCTATAACCCTTGTACTGGCTGTAAAATTTCTAAAGTACAAGGTTATTTAGGAAAGAAAAATGGTCATTCTCTATCTCATCGTTGATGGTGGTTTTCTTTTTCCCCCTTTCCTTCCTTCCTTTTCTTTCTTTCTTTCTTTCTTTCTTTCTTTCTGTCATTCTTCCTTCCTTCCTTCCTTCCTTCCTTCCTTCCTTCCTTCCTTCCTTCCTTCCTTCCTTCCTTCCTTCCTCCCTCCCTTCTTTCCTCCCTTCCTTCCTTCTCCCCACCCCCCCAGACAGGGTTTCTCTCTGTAGCCCTGACTGTCCTGGAACTCACTCTGTAGACCAGGCTGGATTTGAACTCAGAGATCTGCCTGCCTCTGCCTCCTGAGTGCACGTGCCGCCACCACCTGGCTGACAGAGGTTGTATTACATAGATTCTCAGCTCTACTCTGTACTAAAGCAGAAATTTCTATCAGGGTTTAGGGATTTGTCTACTAACAGTCTTTCAGATGATTTTTGTGTGTGCTGTGCTTACATTTGGAAACCATTAACCTAGGGGGATAATTTTTTAAAAGTGAAGCCCCAGCATCATTTGGGTTGTTGGATTCTTCCCTATTACAAACTACAGACCAGCGCTTCAAGGAATATAATGTAAAAACCTAATTATAAGAATAGTAAATATAATTTCAGAAGACTAGTAATTAACAAGCCTATTAATGGGATTGTATAACTTTTTATTGTAAACTACACGTGAAATGTCTCAATGAATTATATGTGTAAAGTATCTCTAAGAATTCTTTGATGGGTGCTGCTTAACTCTGATTTGCTTTCCATAAAATAAACCAGCTGCCTAAAGTTTTTACAATGTTACCCACATGCCAGTCTCAGTAGCCCCAAAGGCATTCTCTGAACAACCCTGTTTCCTGCATAAGAGGAAATGGGCTTACCCGGAACTGGTTGGTTAGCTATACAAAAGGCTGAAGATGTAGCACAGCTGGTCGAATGCTTGCCTAGCATGCATGAAGTCCTGCACTTCATCTCCAGCACCACACAAAATCAGGCACGGTGGCCGACTTGCTATCCCAGCACCCAGGAGGTGGAGACAGGATGATCCGAAGTTCAAGTTCATCCTTCGTTACACAGCAAGACGAAGGCCAGCTTGGGCTGCAAGAGACTTTCTCAAAAATAAAACAAAGGGCTTGGAGAGACGGCTCAGCAGTTAAGAGCACTGGCTGCTCTTCCAGAGAACCAAGGTTCAATTCCCAGCACCCACATGACAGTTCAAAACTGTCTGTAACTCCAGTTCTAGGGGACCTGACACCCTCACACAGACATACATGTAGGTAGAACACCAACATATATGAAATAAAAATAAATCATAAAAATCCTAACCCCCCCAAAACTAAACAAAACAAAATTCCACTAACCTTTTGGTTATCAAAAGAAAATATGAATTTTCCAGCTTTAGAGATGTTTTAAAATAATAAGTAAAATCGCATTGGTTGAACAGGGTATACAGTGTCCTGAATTTACAAGCACTTTAAATCTTTCTAGTTTTATAATTTATAATCTGACTAAACTACTTCTTAACCTAACTCATCAATGATCTGTTTGTTTGCTTGTTTGTTTATTTTTTTGAGACAGGGTTTCTCTGTGTAACAGCTCTGACTGTCCCAAAACTCACTCTGTAAACCAGGCTGGCATTGAACTCACAGAGATCCACCTGCCTCTGCCTCCTGAGTGTTGGGATTAAAGGTGTGCACCTCCATGCCTGGCTGATTGTTTTTATTTTTTAACCGTCTAGGCTTGGCAAGAACTCCTTGCCCTTTTAAGATAATATATAAGCCTCTTGAGCCCACTTTACAGAAACAGTTAAGACTAACAACAGAGAAGATTAATTTGATAATTTGATCATACCCAGATAATTCAGATGCTAAATATAATTCTTCTTCCTTTTCTTTTTTCTTTTCGACTTGACCAAGCTGGTCGATTAATTCTTCTTGTTTCATCACCTAAGTACTCCTCTTTCGCATACGTTGACAATTGTCATTCTTGGCTATTACCAGTTATCTCTATCTTTCTTTTTCTTTCCTTTTACAAAGTACAGTTGAAGCAAAAAGGTCACTTACCTTGAAGGTTTTCTTTCTCTTCTTCCTCCTCCTCCTCCTCCTCCTCCTCCTCCTCCTCCTCCTCCTCCTCCTTCTTCTTCTTCTTCTTCTTCTTCCCCTTTCTTTCTCCCTCTCACCCTCTTTCTCTCTTTCTCTGGCACAGGGTCTCACTATCTAGTCCTGGCTGGCCTGGAAGTCCATATCTAGACCAAGGCTTTCAACTTGCAAGGATCCTTGGGCCTCTGCCTCTTGAATGCTGGGATGACGGACATGTGTCACCACACCCTGCTTGAAAGTTTTGCTTCCCTACAAGCCAGGTGCACCCTGTTTGTGCTAGCCTAGTAAGAAGAGGTATCAAGAATAAAATACCGTAATACAAGTTGGAACTTTTCATATAATGTAAGAATTGGCTCCAAACCACCTTTCTTCAAAACTAAGCATCTCTTCAAGAGGGTGACTAGTTGGTAGAGAATCTAAGGGGTGAGTTCTCATACAAGAATCACAACACTAAGGATAATTCTGTGAAACTATAATACAAGTCTATCATACAACTTCTGAAACAATTTTTTAATCTTTCAAGAGCTCATGGGAAAAATCTAGTAGCTTTAATTTCAAACACGTAACTTCATGTTCATTACCATATTTGGATTTGTTCTATGGGATTTGGATTTGGTTCAGTTGAAGTAGCTGGGAACCAGGAAGCTAATGCTTTTTTTTTTTTTCAATAATCATACTTTTTTGAATGACAGTGGAAGGGATTGGTGGGGTTAACGGGTAGACTTTTGGGAAATATTAGTGATTTTTGCCACTTTCTCTGTATCCTGATAACCCCCTTGTATAACAGTAGAGAAATAAAGCAGTGTGAAGCTGGAGAAAAGGTCGCAACAAGAACAGAAAAAAGACAGCTTTCTAGCCCTTACACGCCCCATTTCCAACTGTGTGAGCTTCAACCCTACAGTCGAGGAGAACCAAGAAGCTATTTAAGTCTCTTTCAAAATCTCTTCGTGAAACAGAAATCCAATCAGTTTGCGAGACAAACACTTTACTGACGGAGGTATGTTCCCCAGCAATTGTATCTTTTTCATTTTTATTTTAAAAGGCATCTTCCTTTGTGATATATAGGAGAGGCGGTGGTCATAATTTCAGCATGTCAAACTTCAAGGCCAGGTAAGAACTAATAATGACTTGTCAACAAAGGCAAGGGTTTTAAACTCAGTACGTTGATAGCCAGGTGTCCAGAAAAAAAAAAAAAAAAAAAAGACGGTTTGGGGTCTACTATCTACCAATTAACCGTAAACGCCGTTAATGACACAATTTCGGATTTCAGAGATTTGTGAGTTAGCACCACTTAGCAGGAGTTAAGACTGAACACTTGGAGCAGGGTTGGAAAGGTTATGGGGCCAGCAGTAGGGATTTTTTTCTAAGGTTGCTGACGCAAGACGGTGCAGGGGTAAAACTGCCTCCAGTTCCCCCGAGCGGTCTTCACTCCAGGCTCAGGTTAACCGCGCGCCAGCGTGACAGAGACAGTCCCTGACATTCTCAAAAAAGGGAAGGAGAGCGACGCCCGCTCGCCGACGGGGCGGTCTGCGCGGTCACACCTCTGAGCCCGGCCGGCGGTCGGGGAAGGAATCTTCCCGGCCAGCCCCGCAGCGGTGACGGACGTCGCAGCCAGCCAATGGGCGTGCCGGAGGCGGGCCTGACGGGCCTGGAGGGGCGGGATTTCCCGCGCGGCCGCCGCGGAGAGCCCGGTTGGGGCGGCGGCGGCGCCTT